GGAGGAGGAGGAGGAGGAGGAGGAGGAGGAGGAGGGAGGAGGAGGAGGAGGAGGAGGAGGAGGAGGAGGAGGAGGAGGAGGAGGAGGAGGAGGAGGAGGAGGAGGAGGAGGAGGAGGAGGAGGAGGAGGAGGAGGAGGAGGAGGAGGAGAGGGAGGAGGAGGAACGACGCACAGGATGAAGAGGAAGAACGACGACAACATACTGAGGGATTGGAGAAATAGGGTGCCGAACGAGGGCGACGTGGAGCACGAAGGGGAGGACGAGGAAGGGGACAGAGGAAAGGAGCGACGGCGTGGGGCAGGGAGGGGGGCGAGGACCAGCAGGGCAGCGCGGAGGAAGAGGAGGACAAGCAGGGGTGACGAGGAAGATCACGGTCAGGGCGGCGAAGAGAAGATGCATCGAACACGGGCCAAGCTGGCACCACGGCGGCCGAAGGTGGCCTCAAGACGGCCCAAGGGGGCCTCATGAGGACTGCCAGCGTGGCCCGAAGACGCCGCAATCATTCAAGGGCCCAAGGTATCCAAGACTGCCCCAAGAGTGACCAAGAGGGCCTCCCGAGAGATCCACGACTGCCTTACAAGGCCTTCGACTGCCCAAGGCAGTGCAAACAGATCCCTACGACGGCCTAACATAGCCCCTGGCTCAAGACGGCCTAAACGGTCCCCCAAACTGCCCAAGCCGGCTCCCGGCCCCCCTCCCAAGATTGTCCCACAGGAGGCCAAGGCAGCCATAAGATGGCCAAAACGAGTTCTATGACAGTTCCTCAAACACAAAAGGCGAATGGTGACACATGTGACATTCGTCTTCCTGCTACTCCTCCTGCTTCTCCTCCTCCTCCTGTTGCTCTTCCTCCTTATCATCCTCATCCTGCTGCTCCTCCCCATCATCAGAAACAGCATCACCATCATCGTCATCGTCATCGTCATCATTATTATCAGCAGCATCATCATAATCATCATCTACAGCATCATCATCACAACCAACATCATCATCAACATCATCATCATCATCAGCAACATCATGAGCATCACCCAAGCTTCGAGACACGAGGTGGCACACGTGACGGGCTCCCGCTGTCCTTCGGACAAGCGCCACCCAACATGCTGGGCTGGCACGGTGGCGAGACTTGCTGCATACAGCTCTATACATGTAACGAAAACAATAAGAAATAATTATCGCATATGGGAATGCTCCTCGACAGATCCATCGAGAGAGGACGAGGGATGAGCCATCACACCAATACGTACGCACTGATGCACGCACGAGTCAAGCGCGCGCATCGCACAGTGGAATAAGAAAGAGAGAGAGAGAGAGAGAGATGAGGGGATACATATATATATAGAGAGAGAGAGAGAACTACTAAAGGATTGCGAGAGAAACAGAAATGGAGAGAGAGAGAGAGAGAGAAGAAGAGAAGGATCAATGAAAAAACGGGTGAACAGCGGAGAAAGGAGAGAGGACAAGAAGCATCCTCCCGGTGCCGCCTCCCTCTCCCTTCTTCCCGGGGGACAGTGACGGGCACGAACAGGAGCACGTCCTCATCGGTCTGCCAGCTGCCCGGAACCGTCACGTCGGCAACCTCCAAGATGTCGTTCACGCGCTGGGCAGAAGCCGCAAGAGGAACAAAAGGATAGCTCTCACCCCCCCTCCCAACCAATCCGCTCAAAACCCAGGCTGCGTCCCAGAGAAAAACTCCTCCTCCTCCTCGAACCTCCTCTGCACCCCGCGCGCCCCATCGCCCCCATCCTTGGCCAGCCACTCGCCCCGCCGAAGCTGATGGCGGCACTTGCATGCCTGCCTGCATCCGACGACACCCGTACTGTTCGGAGTTGTCCGAATCAAGCCCCATCGACGGCGAGCAGGGACAGGGAAGCAAGGGACAGGGAAGCAGACACCCATCTGTTTCTGGGGGGTCGAGGATCGAACTGCCTGAACGCTTCTTGCCCTGGGTCTTATTGTTCACCTCCCGGGCGCGGGCACTTCTGGGGAACCTCTGGGGTCGACCAGTCCCATCGGGGAAGGCGGTCCTGAACTGGGCCCTCAAGGCTAGAGCCTGGACAAGAGGGGGAGGCGCAGATCATGGAAGGTAGTATGTGCGCGGCCCGGGGGGGGGGGGGCCAAAAGCGCAGTGGAAGAAGAAGAGGCGCCGTGAGGTCTGAGGAGACATCATGGCCCCCGCCATGATGTCCACCGCCCCCCCAATCGTCACCCCCCCCTTGGCCGCCCCCGAGGACCCGCAGACACCAGCTGGAGGCCACGGCGTCCGATTCTGGACCACCTCGGGCCGCGTGGCCGTGCCGCCGCCGCCTCCGCTCGGGCACGGCGCGGCGCAAGGCGGACGTGGGCCCGCGGGGTCGGGGTGCCTCCGCCGGACGCTCCAGACCAGAGACACGAGTGGCCCATTCAGAGCGAACGAAGGCGACCTAGGGTGACAGGATGACTCTGCATTGCAGTCGGACCTAGGCCAGAAGGGCATCCCTCAGGAAGCGTGAGACCCGCCGTCGGCCAAAACAAACAGAGCGTCCAAGAGCATCCAGCAAACGACCGACAGGAACCACCGACAAGCATCCCAGGATGCACAAGAACACCCAACAGACGCGAAGAACACTACGTAGGGTACCCTCTCCGATTCGACCTCGATCCTGCACCTCGGTCCGACCGTACTTCCAAGGAGAACTGCACCCACCGCCGCCCTGGCCGCCCTCGTCCCGTTCGGGAGGTGGCGGCTCGAGCGCAGCAGGCCGCCCGCGAGTGCGTACAGATCTGCTCTGAGGGCTCGGGGCAGGGCAGACGGGCGCGGAGCGAATGCGTGCACGGGGGACGGCAAGGCGCAGGCGTAGCTCATCGGTCCGGTCGCTGAGGCCCATCCCTAGACGTGTTCCGATCACCTCAGCGAGAGCGCCCAAACCAAGACGTACACCTCGGAGAAGGCAAGCGCGGCGTGGAACACATCCACCACATGCTCCCTCCATGCCGCGAGAGAGAGGCCCGCTGCTGCGAGCGCTGGGATGCAAGGCTTGGCGGCCAGGACCCGCAGTACGGCGTCCCAGGGCTGCGCGCGGCGTAGCCCAATAGTGCAACTGCAATACAAAAACAACCTACGGCATCATCGCCCAACACGCCGCAACGGCACACAGTACAGCCAACACGGGCACAGCAGTACACAGCATTGCGCGCAGTGGCCTCAACCAGCGGGCTGGGTCAAATTCTCGCATGCAAATGCGTCGCGATGATAATCGTCGCCCGGCATGGCCGGCCTGGGAGCGCGGTCGGGGAGGGGGGCCGTCACAAATTGCCCGTTCTCAAGAAAGTCGGATGCTCGGGGAACGGGCGAATTGCCACGCAAGGGAAGCGCCGCAGAACCACAAGAACTTGCCACCAACAAAACAGACCGCGCGCCGCAGAACATGTCACGACAATTCGCGGCAAAACATCTGCCACCCAATCTGTCACAAAACTGCGCCGCAAAGTGCACCACGCATGTTGCGACAACACTGTGTCCACAAAATGGCCGCGCAACTGCGCCGAAAAAATCGAGCGGCCAAGCATGAAAACAAAATGCATTCACACCTCACCAAACAGCGATAAGAAAAGATCCCTCGACCTTTGCCGCGCGCGTACCCGCACAAGGGAAACCATGACACGAGGTTTTTTAGCGGCATTTTTGCGCGGCGAGGACCGTTTGGGTTGTGCCCCTTGTCGGCGCACAGTTGCGGGCGCTAGTTCGGGTCCCTTTTCCGCATACTACTGTGTCAACGCCTTGGGGGGTCCTTTTGGGGGATGTTGGTGCCTGCGCCGGCACCTCCAGAGGCGCCGACGAGCCAGTGGTCCGACTTGGGCCACATGTCCTCGATGTCTGGCGCTGCTTTGGCCCAGTTGAAATGGCGTGGCTGGGCCGTTACCCAATCCAAAGAAGCGAAGTGCCCTGATGGGCGCTGCACGCCGCGCTGCACAAGAGAAGACACATCGCAGGCCGGCGAGGCCCAGGAGGGCCCCGCACGCCGCGCAGCACGCCGGGCGCGGGGCCCGTCCTCGCCCGCGCGTCCACCACCTCCGCGCAATTCTCTCCGACCCCCCACGCCCCCCAAACCGCGCTGCTAACCCCGCTGGGTCCCGCCCCCCGGGCATGTGAGCGTTTTTTCGTTCTGACTACCTACCAGACCACCCCAACCCAACCCGAAGACCCGAATTTCGGGTTGGGGGGGGTATGGGTTCCATACGTGTTGTTTCGATGTTCCCCGACCCCCCCCCCACTGGAAATGGAGGGCAAATTGAAGCATTCGGGTTGGGTTGGGGTGGTTTGGTAGGTGGTGACGTTCGGCGTTTCGACAGTGGGCGGAAAAGGGTGGAGGGGGGGGGTCTGGCTCCGGAGCTCTGCTCAGTGCGGCTGTTTGCGAGAGTGCTGCGTCTGGGGGAGACTCCACCCGCTCGAAACAGGCACCAAAAAAAACACCCAAGATCTACTCCATGGGGGGGGGGGGCTGTTGGGGGGCCCGCGCCGATCGGCAAAACAGTGCATAAGAAACGCCCACCGATGCGTCGGAGGCCACGGGCTTTTCGGGGGGCGCCTCCAACCCATGCCGCGGACATGCGCGGTCCCAACTGCTCGAACACCTGCCCCCCGCGGTCGTTTACAACACTGGCCCCGCTCTCTACCTCACTGGCAAGCTCGTGGGCGCATTCATATGCATTTCCTGTGTTTGTTTGAACTCCTGTTTTGAAGGATGTTTGGAATGTGTTTGTTGACATGCTGTCTCGATGCCGCCCAAACCACGCGGCCTTGATCTTTGTGCTTGAAGGTCCAACCCCACATGGCAATGGCGGCTCCTGCGATGCAGCAAGCAACCAATGCGGACCTCCCGCAAATGCATGCTCGATGATGGGACGTCCGCGTTGGCCGCCCAGGATGAACCCCCCGAGGCCAGTGCGGCTGCAATTACAGGAGATCCGCATTGGCCGCCAAAGAGATGTCCCCGAAACCAATGCGGACCTTCCGTAATTGCAGCCAGTCACGGGAGGTCCGATCGACTGCCAGGGAGAGGCCATCGGAAACCAACGCGGACCTCCCATTACGGGAGGTCCGCACTGGCCTCGGGAGGCCTCTCCTGGCGACAAATGCGGACCCCACGCATTTGCCCCCTACCAAGGGAACCCCTGTTCTGCATCGGTAAGCCGCCCTTGGCGAAAGTTGTAGCTGCAGCCGATGGCAGCGGGATCAACAGAGGCCTCGGGAAGCCCTTCCTCGCGGCCAAGTGCCGAAAGCTTGGAAAAGGGGCACCAACACAACGGTAAGTTGCGCCTCCACAGGGGAAATATGATCCTGGATTTCGGTGTCGGTGGTACTCTTTCGGCCACCCAGGACGCCCGAATATGACCACCATCACCGAGATCAGGATCATCTTCCCTCGGTGGAGGCACACCGCCGAGGTAGGTGTTGGTGTCAACCTCTAGTCGGCGGCGAGCGAGGGGAGGAAGTGAGAATGAGAAGGCTTTCTCAGAAGGCTCGGAAGTCCCCCTGGCCCTCTGAGGAGTTGTCTAAGCCTTCCCCCAAGACAGAACAGCACACCTCTCAGAAGGCGCGAGGGCTTCTGAGAAGTCCCGCCGCCTTCTGAGAAGGCCGTCTCCTTCTCGCTTTCCCCCGTCGCTCGCCGTCGATCCAGGCCTCCGAACAACAACGACGGAGGCCACCGTTGGCATCGGGCAGCTCCTCCTGGCGGCCGGCGCGGTGGGAAGTGGGAAGCTCCGCCTCGGGGAGAGGCCCGTCCACAAGCGAAGCCTCCCACAGGGAACCCAACCCTGAGAAATCCCAGGACGTCCATGGCCTTCTGGTGTGGGAACGCCACGCCTATCCATGGCAGAGCCAGCGACACCCCAAGAGCCCCAGGGCCCCCTGGATCGGGGGCGCGCAAACATGGATTAGCGATCCACGGATTTGGCGCGCGGTCGCCAAATCCATGAATCGGGGGACGTGCCCTCCCCAAAATGCGGCTGGTGCCGCCCCGCTCGGCGGCGGGAATCCGCGATTCCCCATGGGAACGGGACCCGTCGCTAATCCACGCCCCCTTGATCTATGGATGCGATCGCCTGACAAGAGACCCAGGGCGCCCTGGAAGCAAGCAGGGTCTTGGAGTCCAGAAACGGTGCGGTGACAGACCGTGCGGTGCCTCGAAATCCCGCAAGACCTCACCGCACGGTCCGTCAACGCACGGTTCTGGGACCTCAGAAGGCCCACGGCCGCCCGAGACGTCCTCGGAGAACGACCCGAGTCCCAAAACCGTGCGGTGACCCCGAATCCCCACTGACTCCCCACACCGCGTGCTCACCACCCGGTTTGGGGGCCCCCGACTCCTCTTCCTCCGGCCCCTACTGTGTGCCGGGAGGCAGGGCGCGCATGCCGCTTGTTTTGAGCGGGCAGGAGGCGGGGGAAGGGAACGGGAGTCCCCCGAGCGCGGGTCTCCTAGCCACACTAGACGCCGCGGAGGAGGCGGCGGAGGAGGAGAGAGAGGAGGGTGGAGGAGGAGGAGGAGAAGGAGGAGGAGGAGGTGGAGAGGTGGGAAAGGAGGAGGAGGAGGAGGAGGAGGAGGAGGAGGAGGTGGAGAGGTGGGAAAAGGAGGAGGAGGAGGAGGAGGAGGAGGAGGAGGAGGAAGAGTGTTCCTTGGCATGGGCCTCCGCGGTGTGGCGGTGCGGGGAGCGGCCCACACCGGCGGCCCACACACGTGCGGACCGCGCGGGCCTCGCGGGAGGCTTTTCTGGCGGCCGGGGCAGGCCTCTCCTGCCCGCGCTGCGACTGCCGGAACTCTTCTGCCCTGCCCACAGGCAGGGCTCGACCAACACGGTGTCTTGTCGCGGTCGTGCTGTGCTAGTTTTTTCTCGCGTCGTGTCTTTGCCCTCGTGTTGTTTTCTTTTCTCGTTCTGTCGATTCGCTGCTGCTGCAAAGCGAAACCGACACGAACGCGGCCCACGACATCGCCCAGACACCGGTTGGATCGACCCCTGTTTCCTGGCGGCCAGTGCAAGTTTCCTCCCAATGCTTCGGTTGCAAAAAATCTCACCCCGCCCGAAAACACGGAAGGGGGGGCTACCCCCCCCCCCCGCCGGGGGCAACCTCGCCTCCCCTTCGCACCGCGCCGTGCCTTGGAGCGCCTGCGGGCGACGGTACTAGGAGCAGGGTGCGCAGACCACGGAGCATGGAGAACTCAATACATCGTGCAAGCACTCTGGACAAAGGCGCTCACGATCAGCAGCAGTAGCAAAACATCAAAGAACGACAGGGGAAAAGCAGATCAACTCAATAGTATTGGAACACGCGGCTCGCCTCTCACTACGCGTGGCATGGACCAACATTATCCACACGACTCCACAACAATCCCCATGCCGCATGCACTGCGATACAAGATCGTTAAGCAACTACCAACACCTACGGATTAGCGCCTGGATTCTGGCGAGGTGGACGAACCAGGCGGCGCAGATGAAGCAAGAGTACACCTGGCTCGCGAACTGTATAATTGTGTGCCCGAGTGAGAAGGGAGCGTTTAACATGGTGACAAACAAATGTGCTCCACTGTAACCTCACCCTCGAACGAGTTCGGGATCTCACAGAAACACCTGTCAATTACAATCCCCCGCTACACGTCCAAATCCAATTCGCCAACTTATTCGAACGATGCGCACAATGGTTTCACCAACTCATCTGTCACAGGCTGGCATGAGCGTCGCGGCTTGCTGAAAGAACATGCGATCAACACGAAGTGGCGTCGTCAACCCAACGCACCATACACTTGAACGCGTTATATGTGCTTACATATCATACAACACGCTCACCAACAGGTAAACATACATACATACACATACATATACATACGCACAAATACATCCCTCTCTCTATACGTGTATATATATACATATATATATATATATGTATGTGTGTGTGTGTGTGTGTGTGTCCGCCACTGTGCCGCTGGGCACAAAGTGGGCGTGTCCACAGGTTCAACGCCTCATCCTCCGAGCTTCAATCCACGATCCTGAGGATTCTCATAGAAAGGGCCCAGACCCCGAATTCACAAAATCTCCCGGGGCTTACCCCGGCTCCCAGCAAACTTTTTCGGGCCCGGGAGGGCCTCAGGACGGCACAAGATGGCCACAGGAGGTCTCCAAGACGGTCCAAGAGGCCCCGAGTCGCCGAACGATCGCTCCAAGACGCCCAAGATTGCCTCCAGAAGGCCCAGGAGGGCTCCGAGTCGCCCCAAGAGGCCTCCAAGGGGCCTCCAGAGAGGCCAAACCCAATGACTTCCCAACATCCTAAGATGCGTGTTGCTTGTTAGTACTCAGGCCGCGTCGACTCCTCCTCTCTTCTCCCCAACCATCGTCCTTCTCCTCTTCCTCACGCCCACACTCGCAGTCCCTCGTCATACTCAGACTCACTTCGCACTCAGACCCGCTCATACTCAGACTCACTCGAGCTCAGGCTCACTGCAGACAGAGGACATGAAAGCGCACATCAGCCAGGCGAAGAAGATCCAGACGTTTGACGCACTCAAGAGTGCCTGGAAAGCACGGGTGCGGAAATTGAAGAACCCCATCGAGATCATCGAGGTGCTGCCGCCGCCCCCATCGCAGTACAAGGAGATGTACCCCGCGATCTTCGCCCGAGCCTACGCCGACGGGGCGCTGCCAGTTTCGAGCAGCATCGGTACGACGACGATCGAAGCGATGGCCGCTACATTCAGTTCTAGCCCTGGCCTTTTCGGGCCCCCGACGCTGCAAGATGGCCCAAGGGGCCCCCAAGACCGCCCCAAGACGGCCCAAAAGGCCCCCATGATGGCCCCAAGACGGCCCAAGAGGGGCCCAAGAGGGGCCCGAGGGGAAACACGAACTGACATTTCGAACGCTCCGCCCCCGAACCCCCGAGACCCCCAGCGCAGCCCCCGCCAGAAGCTCGAGGAGGCCCCAAGAGGCTCAAATCATACCCCAAGGGGTCCCCGAGAGGCCCCAGAGAGCCCCCCAAGACACCCCTCAGCCGCTTCAATCATGCTTCCTAGAGGCCTCGCCAGAGATCCCCACAGGCATCCAAGATGCCTCTGCCCTTCAACCCAGGCGCGGTGGCGGGATTGACCACAGGCCCGTCTGATACATATATATATATATATACATACATACACATACATACATACACATGTATATATGTATATGTATATATATATATATATAGAGAGAGAGAGAGAGAGAGAGAGAGAGACAGAACCATCGCGCGCGCTTCGCGCGCGCTCAAGTTCTTGCTAACTTCTTGGGGCCTCCTCGGAGCATCCTGGACTGCTTCTTGAGGTCGTCATGGGACCTTCTTGGCATGTCTTCGGGGGCTTCTTAGACAGCGCTTTAAAGCCTTTTTGGTGCCGTCTTTGGGCCTCTTGGGGCCTCTTGGGGGCTTCCTGGGGGCATCTTGGGGCCTCTTGGGGCGGAGAGCTTGATTTACCAGTTCGCATTCCCTCTCTTGGGCCCCTCTTGGGGCCTTCTTGGGACCCTCTTGCACCGTCTTGAACGGCTCTGGGGCCGTCTCGGCGCTCTCTTGGGCCGTCTTGGGGTCCTCTTGGGGGCCTCTTGGGCCGTCTTGGAGCGGTTTGGGGACCCTCTTGGGCGGTGCTTTAGCGCCGGAAACACGAAACAGCGAGACTGCAAAAAACATGTTTGTCTTTAAAACCAATGACAATCAACGATTTTGCCCTCTCGGGGCGCTCTTGGGCGGCATCTTAAAGGCCTCTTGGCGCGTCTTAGGGCCTCGGGGGCAGTTCAAAACGCATCGTGCGTCGCCAGACCCCTGGACGGCGTCTTGGGGGTGTCTCGAGACTGCCTGGGGCCGCTGCGATTGCTGTCTGAAGGCTCCTCGGGGCGATTTTAAGCCTCCCAGAGACGGGCCCGGGCCCCGGTCCCCACATTTGTGGTCGAGGTTCTGGCCCTCGGCCCCCGAGCCCAGTGCGCCGTTATATGTGTATATAAGTTTATATACACATATATGCACATATATGTAGACATATACGTATACATACGTGTGTACATACACACATACACATGCATACATGAATATATAAAGACATGCATACATGCATACATACATACATACATAAATACCTACATACATACATACATACATACGTACATACATGCATGCATGCATGCATGCATGCATACATACATACATACATACATACATACATACGTAAGCACGTGCGTACATACATGTATACATACATACATACGTACATGCATACATACATACATACATACATACATATACACACATACAAACATACATACATACATACATACATACATACATACATACATACACATACATACATACATACATACATACATACATACAGACATAAATACATACATACATACATGCATGCATGCATACATACATACATACATACATTACATACAAACATACGTACATACATACATACATGCATACATACATACATGTATACATACATGTATACATACATACATACACACACGTACACACATCCACAAATATACATATACATACATGCATGCAGACTCACGTAGATACATGCATGCATACACACATACGTACGTGCATACATTCATACACATATCCGTCCGTACAAACATACATACATACATATACACATACATACACTGTAACACAGTCTTACATACATACATGCATACACCCATACACACATGCACACATTCACCCATTCATTCATACATGGGTACATACATATATGCATGCATGCATGCATGCATGCATGTATGCATACGTGCACACACGCATACATACAATAATACATTACAGCACATGGCATCACATTACACTCGATTCCATTACATTGCGTCATACTGCATTGCACTGCAATGCCTTGCATTCCGTTCCTCTACATTCCATTCCATTCCATTCCATTACATTACAATACATTTCATTGCCTTAAATTCTAGACCCTTTCGGGGAGGGGGAGGGGGGGAGCGGGGGCTTTGGGGCAAAAAGGCGGACGAGGAAGAGGAACAGAACAGAGGGGGGGGAGACAGGCCAGCCCCGGAACGATGTTGAGCCAGTCCACCATGTTGCCAAGGGACATGTACTTCTTCAGGCCAGCCCTGCATCCTGAGCGGCCGCGTGCGAGCTGGAGAGGGCGTGCGCTGGCGGAGGAGGCCTGGAAACTCGGGAGGCTCCGAAAGTACCTACTTTCAACGGCCCACGAAGAGGTGACTGTGAGAGCCCACTCCAGAACTCTGAGCCCCACCCCCCCAGCGCCCGTGCTCTTCCGCCAGGGGCCTCCCCCCCTCCGCCGCCCGCTGCGGCCCGTGCTCTCGCTGCGGGCCCCAGGGCGTCTTCCGGGCGGCGCCCAAATCAAGCCCGCATGCCACGACTCTCCCTCCCCGTCCTCCCCCTGCCGCTGCTCTCCCTTCTTCCTCCGCCTCCGCATCCTCCCCCCCTCTTCCGCCTGCTGCTCCAGTCGCCGCCGCCCTTCGTGGCTCGCATTTCGGGTGGTCTAGGCCGCTGCATCCAGCAACATCCTGCTGCTCCACAGCGTCCTCCGCCTCCTCCTCCGCCTGCTCCTCCTCCCCTCCTCAATCCACCGCCTCGTCGTCCTCGTCGTCGTCGTCGTCGTCTGCAGGGTCGAAAGCCCGGGCCGTGAGGCTTTCACAATCGAGCCCGCACCTCACGCCGTTCTAGATGCGGGCTCGAAGCGCGTGCATGCTAACCGTTGGCCCCGTCCGAATTCACCCGTGGTGTCCAACATCTGCTTCTCGGGTTTCCCAGATCGCATCTTCGGCACAGCTTCGCGTACAGTCGGGAGGCGTCAAGAGCATGGCACATCTCTTTGATATCTTGGGATTGTAACATCCCCAGGGGTCTCGCGGGCGTTTCACATAGCCGATGTTCGGGGTTTCTTGTACGCTGATGTCAATCCAATTTCAATAATGCTTGGGACGGGGTTCGGGTCCTGTGCGGAGAACATCGCGCGTGGGCCGTCCGGAAGCCAACATTGGCCGCCGAGGGCCCATGTTGGCCCGTTTGGGGGCTTTTTTCGGGACCTCCTCGGCCCTTGTTGGTGCCTTTCGGGCGTCTTTGCTACTTCTGGTATTCTGCTGTGGATGGGGGGGCAAGAGACCAGACAGCCAGAGTTGATGCCACTTTTCCGTTCGTAGCGATGGCAGGCATCGATGAGCCACACACCTGAGCCCACTCGGCGATAGCATGCAGAAACAAAGGATAATAAACAACCATACAACGCTTAGTACTCCTCTGGCGAGGCGCCGTCACCGTCGCGAACGGCAGCAAAGACACGAATCACCGAAACAGTTGCCACTCGGAATTGCATATGGAACGACGGCGGACACACCGTGCAGGGGCCGCTGGCACATTCACATACGCACACACCTTCAGGAAAGTCTTGCCTTATGTCCAAGACATATCCGTCCCGACTTGGGGCCGTCCTCGCCTCTTCCGACGAGAACATTGGAATGGGCGGGCAGTGGACGGGAAACACATTTCGAATGCTGGGCGCTCGAGAACAGCCGCATCACTTCTGCTATGGGGGTACCCCGAAGTCCGAGGCGCAGAAGCGGGGAAGAGATCCATTGCCGTGCCCCGAGAGACCGAACGGATTGATAATCACCTTCCGCGCGGAGGAAGATGAGGAGAGGAAGATCTCGACGAGGGAAGCCTCTGTGCTGCGCTGCTGTCACTGGGAGTGTGTTGCAAGACCCTAGGTCCACTCGCGCGTATCGGCACGCCCGGACCATCCCATGAGGCCCCAACACGGCCCTCGCAAAAGGCCAACATAATTCCTGTAAGGTCCAATACGGCACATGCATGCCCCATGACCATCCAGATACAACATCAAAGACAACGCTAAGGCCTTCAAGAGGCCTCTTGAACACTCCTGGGGAAACCTTGGGCCGAAACGCACGAAACAATAAAATTCGTTGAGAAGCACCGTGCTTGCAATGAGTTCGGCTGTATGGGGGCTTTCTACTGGTCGCTGTAGATCCCACGCCTACGCATCGTGGATCCTCTCGTGCCATCTTTCCGACATCTAGGGCGGTGTCGGGGGGCTCGTGGCGCAATCTTGGCTCCTATAGTATATCAGGGGCCTCTTGGGAGCGTCGCAGGCCCCAAGCAGGACCCCAAAAAAGGCTCCAGGTGATGCCAACGTTGCAGATATATGCGACGAGGGGAGCTCGCCGCTCTTCTGTATCCTGGCACGCAAGGGAATGCTGCTGCAGAGATGCACCCGTTGGATGAAGCTCATGGGCCGTCGTGGATCACGATCTCGGCCTTCTTGCTGGAGGATCGTGATGCAGACATCAAAAAGGCGAGACACCACAATACCTGCCTGGTCCAAACGACTTGGTACCACCCATGGGATGCACATTGGATTATGACAGATTTGCTATCCAAGGCTCGGAACACACTGACTTAACAACCGCGGGAAAACGTGAGGCAACACATCTCTCGGACTATAAACATAATCGGTCACGTACATTCGATTGGGGCAAACGCGATCCGAGGGGGTCTGATCGAAACGTGCAATGTCCCATCGTAGGCGAAGCCATATAAAAGGGAGAAGCGAGGAAGAAGTGGAGATGAAACATAACAGGAAGACGGAGGCGAGAGGGATGAGCAAGGCAACGCGGCACAGACTCCTCCGTGCAGTCTAATGTTAGAGTAGAGGTCTGGGATCTCGTCGAAGGCAAGCTTCACCACCATGACGCACCACAATACGTCCCTCCCAATCCCCCTTCCTCAAAGGCAAGTCCGACTCCCTCCATCAATGCAAATACAACTCCATAACGGCGGCAACAATCATCAAACGCCCCCCTGGGACTGAACTGAAAATCCTGCGGGTCCCACTTGCCTGTTATTCCGTGGCAATCGCCTTGCCCATCTTGTCGTCCTCCTCGACTCCGTCTCCACTGCTGCTGACTTCGAGATGGTCTTGTCCCTCGCCCTTTCTGCCTCTCACTCTCCACCCCCCTCCTCCTTCCTGCTCCCGAACCCTTCTGAGACCATCCTCCACCTGTTTCCTGTCCCCTCGCCAGGCTCGGGTCGGGCGAAAAGGGGGGATAGCAAAGGGGGGGCTTGAGAATCAGCTCACGTAGCTGATTTTCCCGGCGCCTCCCGGCGCCGGAGGCGGCCATGCATCGAGGAACGGGCCCCTCGGTGAGGCCGAAACCAGCTGCCTGCAGCAGATTTCGTACCCCCCCCTTTCCCAACCCCCCCCTTTCGCCCGACCCGAGGAACACGGTGGAAACGGTGCGCAACTGCACGACGGCACCTCCCGTTGGCGCCCGAGGCACTGCGCTCCGCCGAGGCCACGCCCTCCAGAACCCCCACGGGCGAACCGGGCCACGGGGGCCGCGGGACGGCGCGTGACCGGAGCGCGGACGAGGACGGCAAGAACGGCCGGGCGGGAGGCATAGACTTCTGCGTCGACAGCCTTCTATGGGTGGAACATTGATCGAGGGGTGGGCGACAAACCTTCCGACGGAGCTTGCCCATCCAGCCCATCCTCCACCTCCAACTCCTCCTCCTCCTCCTCCTCCTCCTCCTCCTCCTCCTCATTCTCCTCCTCCTCCTCCTCCTCCAACCCCCCCTCCACCCGTTCCGACAGCACGTGCCCAACACCCTCAGCGGATCCAAGGTGGGGGGGGAGGGACGATAATTGCCCCATCCAGAGTTTGCCATCACTGGAGGCCTCCTGCATAGGGTCGGGCAGGGGTCGGAGTAGATGGGGTCGGTGGATCGCGCCGCCTCGCCAATGCGTCGCCGACGCATCGGCGATGCTCCCGCGCCGTCGGCGTGGAGAAAGTCGGGAGGCCACCTCGAGCCGAATCGCCATGGCATCAGCGACGCGGCGCGTTCCTCCGGCCCCATCTCCTCGAATCCCATCGCGGAGGCCTACAGTCAGAGCGAGTAATAATGGTGCACGGGACGGATGCAAGGGCCCTGGAGGGGGGGGGGGGCATGCCGACACCCTTCGAAAGGGGCACGGCCAGCGAAAGTGGCCAAGGATGGGTCGAAGAAGAAAAATGCAAAGGAAACATGGGAAAGTCGCTCTGCCTTTAAAATCCGTGTTGAATGTACCGCCTCCTGTGGAAACTCGCGGCAGCCTCCCATGTCATCTTGCTGGCTCTTGCGAGTCGACGCCAATTGACGCTCAACAGTCTCGAGTCGACGATAAATCGTCGTTTTCTCATATATTCACTCATATCACCAGCATGACCCAAATTGGACTTGATGGCCTCGATCCAAGATACCCTGCGGTACTGCTTCCCGCTGGTGTAGGTTGGTTGCTTGAAACTGCGCGCGTTGAATGAGAAAAAATAATCGCTATGTCGACGCCGACCTTTTGCTGCTCTCATCATTGGGTGGTTGAAAGTGCTCAGGTGCAAGTACTGCCGTGGGTGCAATGAATTGTTGCCCATTGGAGGTCAACTTGAGGTATGCGTTCTTCGTTTCGTCGTCGGCTTGGCGCAGCTACTCCTTTTGTCGTGGCTCTGTGCGTCGAGAGCTTTGGCCGATTCAGCTTGCGGCTTGTTGTCGTAGCGGCTGGTTTGCCTCTCGGCGACCAAGTCTGCAAGCTCTTTCCACGGGCGGCCGGCGTAGGCGTAGACGCGGTCGGTGTGGAATCGGCTGATGTTGCTGGAAGGTCGTGTAATGCCTGGCCGTGGCTGACACGTCACGGTTGGTTCGTACCTGCACCGTTCTTCAGCAAGACCCTTTGCCACCTTGGAGTCGGCGTGGACCCTTGCATGGGGGTTGCCGTAATATGTCCTTCTGCGCGTAGATTGCGTAGGCCCATATGAGAGTTGCCTGGTCTGACGTTTTGGACGTGAGTTAGCCGTAGTCGCCGCTAGATGTAGCACTTGAGGTTTGGGCTGCAACTGTGCGAAGGTATGCGAACCCATGGCCATCCTCTGTAGCGATAGCGATAGCGATGGCCCATGCACCCCTTGTGGAGTCGGCTTCGCTGCAGAGCCGAATCCGCTGGTCTCTGCCCGTCTGTCTCGGGGACGCAAATTCCAGCGCCATGACAGCGCTTGGGTGAACACGTTTTGGTTCTCGTAGGCCTGGGAAGATAGTGGGACGTGCGGGAGACGAGGAGGAGAAGGTCGAAGAGGAGGAGGAGGAGGAGGAGGAGGAGGAGGAGGGGGGAGGAGGAGGAGGAGGGGGGAGAAGGAGGAGGAGGAGGAGGAGGAGGAGGCGTGGAGGAGGACCAACGGCCCCCACGGCTGGCACATTCGACGGCCCGGGAGGTGCCAGATATTGCCCCATGACCCCCGTCCACATGTTCTTCCTCCTCCTCCTCCTCGTCACCCCCTCCTCCTCCTACTCCCCTCCTCCTCCTCTTCTTCCTCTTCGTCTTCCTCTTCTTCTTCCTCCTCCTCCTCGTCCTCCTGTTCTTCTTCGTCTTCTTCTTATTATTATGCCTTTTCTTCTTATTCCTCCTCCTCCTCCTCCTCTTCCTACGCCTCTGCCTCCGCCTCTTCCTCCTCCTCCTCCTCCTCTTCTTCCTCCTCCTCTTATTATTACGATTGTTATTATTATTACTATTATTGTTACTAATATTGCTACTAGTGTTGTTATTACTATTACTATGATTGTTACTATTACTATTATTGTTACTACGATTACTATTATGTTAATCATTATTGTTATTATTACTGTTAGTGTTACTATTATTCGTATTATTATTCGTCGTCTTATTATCATTCTAGGTATTATTATTATGCTTCTGCTTCTACTTTTGCTTATGCTTTTGCTTAACATTATTATTCTTCCTCCTCCTCATCATCCTCCTCCTCTTCCTCGTCCTCGTCCTGGTCCTCGTCCTCTTCATCCTCCTCCTCCTCCTCCTTCTGGCGCATCCGCTCCTCCGACGGGGGGCCGGGGCGGACATGGCGTTTTATGTTTCATCCGCCCGCAACTTTCTAAGAATCATGGTGGGGGAATTTACGCCTGTGAGCACGTGTTGCCATGTTGTCGGCGCCCCTGGCTGCCTCGTCACTTTGCGTCTGGGTAGGTCGCGCGGCACCCTGAGTTGCGCCGGGCGCGGGCATCGGCTCCGCCTGCAGCGTGGAAGTCACGATCGCTGGGTTTTCGCGGGGGGACTCGGTGGATGGCGCCTGTTCGAGCTGGTCTAGCATCTCGACTTGCGGCAGGCGCTCTGGCGCATGAGCGGTGGCTAGCTGGGCGTAGACGTACTCCTGGTGGGCCTCCCGGGTGCGCTTCTGGCGAGTGGCGTGCCATTGCCTTCGTGTGTCCGCCTTCTGCTCGCGCAAGTCGATCTCGCGCCGATGGGCCTCGCTGTGCTGGCGGGGGCCGAACCCCCCTCACTTCAGAGCAAATCGGAATCGACCTTCTGTTTGGGCTGTATGCTGTTGCGTCTGCTCCCGGCGCTCATTTCCCCTCGTGCTTCCAAGGCTCGAATGCTCATTACGCCGAGCTTGTGTAGCGCCTCTGGCGCGCACCTGCCTCTCGCTGTCGGCGACGCCGCGTTGAAAACCAGCCCCCGCGCGCCTTTTTCGGTCTGATATTTCGACGTGCGCCTTGCAAAACTCAGGGGGACATAAGACCTGGGTACAGGGGACTCGGAAATCCCCGACGAGGTCGTCAAAAAATGACGAGGCCGAGCCTGCATTTTGACGAGGCCTCCCGCTGAAGACATCCCACGAAACTCCTCCTCGTCAAAATCCGAGGCGCGGTCGTCAAAAAACGATGGCGAACCCGAGTCCTGGCAAACCCGGGTCGTACGCTCCCCCGAAAAACTGGTTGTCGGTGCTGTCCCTGTCTGCGGAGCTCCACCGGCTCGACGACGTCGTTGATCCCCGGGGCCTTCCATGGTCGAGATGCGGTGGCCCGCCGTCGTCGTCTCTCTGTAATAGGCGACCATTTCGACAGCTGTCCTCTCTGCCAGCCGCAGATGTTGATGCATGGCGTTGAGGCTGTGCTTGCAGAGCTTGTCTAGCTTGATCTCAAACTCCACGATGTATGTCGTCGTTTCCTTGGGCAATCGGGTCTTCCGGAAGTCGATGTTGGTTGGCCTTCTTGATGGGTGCCATGTCCTCCTCGCTGTGAAGCCTGGCTGTGGCTCGTTCGGGCATCCATGGAGGCGGCAGGCTATTTCGATTCACTCGGATATATAGTTCGCTTGCAACGCGTCTCAGATTGGTCCGCTCGCCCTCGACGTTGGACTCGGCGCCACGTGGGTGATGTAATTCGTGTAGTTTGGCTGCAGCTTCTTCCCGTGCGGCATCAGGCTAGTTTTTGATAGCGTTGAGGCTGTCGAACTTATCCTTGGCCTCCTTCTTGGTGTTTCTGACGTCATGCAACAGGCGATGGTTATCCTCCTTTCTAAGTTGTTGGGCATGTTCTGATGTCCTGCCCCTGCGTCGACTCCCTGGCCCGCGTATGTCTCCTTGCAGCCAGTGTTGCAGCCCTTCTCGTCGGGCGTTCCGTCTGGCATGGTTCTACCTCTTCGTCGGCTGCCCATGTGTCGTTGTGAACGACGTCCATGGCGTCGTTGATGTCACTCCTGGCGGCGTGAGGTTCGGCGATGTCCCCCCCGGCGTTGTCAGGTAGATGTCCACCATCTTGTGGTGTGCTTTGGCATTCTTGAATTGGTCCTCCATCACATGTTTGGTACGTTCGATGGTTTTGGTTTGTGGGTCGAGCGGGGTGCTGCTGATGATCATGGCTTCGTGGAGGCGACGTGGGTCTCAGCATCCAGAAAATGGAATCCAACGGCACTGTTCTTGACGATGGCTGCTGCTGTCTTCCGTTGTTTTGCGGCCCCGCCATTATTCCCATCTTCCTTTCATTGGAGATTGTTTCTGGCAGGACGCTTTTGATGGTCCTGGTGATTTTGTAATCCTGGCTGGGCTCGCGTTGTCTCCTCCTGGTGGGGGGACGCCTCCTTCACGTTGGGGCTGTTGTTTTCCATTGCCCTTCTTGTATCTATGCTCGCCCTTCCGCGGAATTGTTTGGCGGTATCGTCGTGTGGTTTGAGGAAGGTACCCTTGCTTTTGTCGTTGGTGACCTTGCCTTTGCCGTTGGTGCACCTGCTCCGGTAGCCGTCGGGGAGGGGACGAGGGAAAAGGTCCTTGTGGCGGGGCTGTAGTTGTCAATCGCAGGCCCGATGGGCCGGTGACTGCCACGCTGGCCGCCGCCTTGGCCCCCCTGCGGGGCAAATCGGGCGATCGTGGCTCTCCTCCTGGTTTCCTCCTCCTCCTCCTCCTCCTCCTCCGCCTCCTCCTCCCCTTCTCTACAATTTTTTGTTCACCTCCTCCTGCTTCTCCTCCTCCTCCTTCTTTACCTCGAACGCTTGCCACTTGTCCCCCCCCCGCTGCTGCCGAACGTGGCCCGCCCTGCCCCGCCAGACGTAGTCCGACCACGTGTTGTACGGCTGGAGGAAGAAACTGATCGGCTCGATCACCTTGTGGATGTGGCCTCCGCTCGCCGCTGGCGCCGCCGCCGCCGCCCCGCTCGGGGCCACCCCGCCGCGCGCTGACGCCGCCAGTGCCGGCGCCGCCGCGCCCGCGGGGGACTGCCCCCGTCGCCGAGCCGCGCCTGCCACCGCCGCTCCGACGGAGAGGCAACCGCGCCGCTTCGGCGGCGCCCGCGGCCGCGCCCGCCGCCCGCGCCCGCCGCTGCGCCGGCGGGCGCCGAACGCTGGCTCGGGGGCGGTTGGACCTATAGGTCGCCTCGCGCGTCGCGCTCCAGGACCCGCGATGCGCGATTGTCCTCGAGCCCTCCTTGGAGGAGGGCGGCCGCTCTGGCCCAGAGCGAGACGCGCGCAGCGCTATGATCTTCGCGCTCCCGCGGGTGAGCCAGCCGGACGGAGGGTGGCGGCGGGCGGGTGGCTGCGTGCGGGGTGGTGGTGCGTGGGTCGAGGGTCGAGTATCCGAGGATAGGGGAGCACCGATTGGGGATCCTCCTCGGACGTTTGTAAGTTTTCGGGATCCTCCTCATCTATCCTGGATCCGCCACGAGCGACCTAGACCCTGGATCCTTATCTTCCTCCTCCTCCTCCCCGACCCCTGATCCCCCTCTCCTTCGATCGGGGTCTTTGGGCTTCGTCTTGGGGCCTCCGGGGGGGCACCCCCGTCGCCACGGCTGCAGCCGCGTCGAGGCCCTGGTCGGGTCGCGTCTGCGTGCAGACCCTCCGCCGTCTCGGGAGAGGGCCAGGGAAGGGGCGTCGCAGGGGGGAGGACGGGCACATCGGCGACACGCAGGAGGGGACCCGCGGCCCTGGGCAAGAGGCTGTGGTGCACGGCATGCTGGTCGGCTACACGCAAGAGTGACCCTGGGCAAGAGTGGCCTTTGGTGCGCGGCGTTTTGGGGGCCGCGGGGGGACCAAACACAAGCGCGCAGGGCGCTACTACCGCATCGCGTTGGGCGATCGGGGGACCCCCCTGGGCCCGCACCACAAGCAGATCCCAGCGAAAAGGCACTCTTGAACCGATCGTCGTACGCGATGCAACCGTAGCGGCCTGCGCCCTCGGGTTCGGCCCTCCAGCGCCCCTTGAAAGCCGCGCACCAGAGGTCACTCCGGCGAAGGGTCGCCCTTGCGCGCAGCCGAGGAGGAGGTGAGGCAGCGCGACCCCTCGGCGCTTCCGCGGAAGGCCACCGACTTGAATAATTACCTCGGATGCCGTGGATGCCAGGTGATGCTGCCAGAGGCCAGAGCACCTCCTCTCACCGCTCAACTCTCCTCCTCCTCCTCCCCCCTCACACCACCCCCTTCTTGCCGGCGCAGACTCTCCCGAGGAAGCCCTCCTCCCCACCCCGTTCAGCTCCTCTGCCCTCCTCCCGCTCCCGCTACCTCTCGCGCGCACGGGGGGATTGAGCAGGGACAGACCGTCCTGGCATTCCTTTTAAGCCAGTCTCGGCAAGAAACGTTCTCGGAACACTCCATTCAGACCACAAGAGGTTCTCAGACCGTTCTTTGGCGGGCCGCTAGGCGAGCCAGGATGCTTCGCCAATGCTTGAGAGGAGGCGGGGGAAGGTAAGGAGGGAGGAAGGAAGAGAGGACGGAGGCAAGGGGGGAGGAATGAGGAAGGCCGGAAGAAAGGAGGAAGGACGAGGGAGGAAGGAAGACTGGGAGGAGGGAGAAGGAAGGATTGAGAAGGAAGGAGGAGGGAGGGAGAAGGAAGACTGGGATGGGGGAGGAAGGAGGACAGAGGTGAAGGAAGGAGGAAGGAGGAAGGAAGACCTGGAGGAAGGAGGCAAGGGGGGAGGAAGGAAAGGACGGTCGGCGACGGCGCGGCCCCGGCACGAACGACGTCTCTCTAGCGGGGCAAGTCGTCATTTTGAAGGTATGGGAGGCCTCGTGTTCCTCCTTCTCCTC